GAGAGTAGATCGCGTCAGTCCCCTCAGCTTCCCCATGAAGATCATCAAATTGAAATTCAACAACAAGGCAGTGATCATGACTATGAGGACGCAGGGAACTTTGACTTCCCCACGGGCACACCACAGCCCCCTGAACAGTCTTCATCGTCATCTGAACAACCAGAAGATGAAGTCGGAGTGCACATATACAGACTGGAGAAGGCAGATGCTCACTGTTATCTGCGATGGGGGACACGTACAGAAGAATTTTGCTTGACATCGTGCGTTGCTTACGACTGCCTCGCAATGACATTGTCGGCTTGCACTTTGTCCATGCTCTTCCGATTGGAGTTCATCCCATTGCAGGCAGAGCAGTGATTCTCCAATCGAACAATGATATACCAGCGGGATCTGGAGAACAACTTGTTCTCATTGACCAGGAAATCCACTTCCATGCGCTTCCCTCCGGACTTTTGGTCCCACCGGCCTTCAGCCGGAAAGTGCTTCGAGTTTTTCCTCCTCTACATCGATCCCAGATACTACGATTGCTTGGACTTCATGAATACTGCGAACTTCACTCAGACAAATGCACCATCTTTGAGAACAACATCCTCTGGCCAGCCCAAGATCGCACAGTACATGCACTGACCCACGGTACATACTTGCGGGTCATTGTACCTCCTCCAGATGACCCTGCACTGGACACGGAGGTTGCAATCGCGATCACCAGAGACCTTACAATCGAGGAACCGGCATCCCCTACCTCTGCTCCGATTGCCACTTGCCAGCCTGGTCCTGCAAGACCAGTTAGTGAGGGAGATAGCAATGCCTTCTTCCAACAAGCACTACAACGACATCAAGCGACATGCCGTTCTGCATTGCGAACACTCAGACCTTCACGCTGGAAAGTCGCACCAGAACATGTTTGTGGACACCGGCTTCCAATCTCTTCAGAAGGATCAGTGCCACCACCACAAAATCCTCGACCATTCAGCAGGTTTTCAGGCAGAGACTTTGACACCCTGAACAACCTCTTCATGTCCCAAGCTTTGATCGAATGTGAAGAAGGGGGACCCATCGCCTACATTGACACATGGTACATTCACCACGGTCGGCAGCGCCAATGTGACGAACCAAGAGCAGTCAAGATCTTTCAGGATCCAGCCACGTGGATCTCAGACATTCTTCAACCTTGGAATGAAGAAATTGACCACACCATTGACATCTTGATCTACCTGGTGCGACCAAAGCCGCCGTGTACCCCAATGGAATGTATGTTGGCTCATCTCATCATAGAACAAGCACCCAGACCTGACTGGACTGTCGTTCTTGTCACTATACAGGATGCAAGCTTCAGAGGAGCCACTGTCAATCACAAAGCGTTTTCCACTTCTTCCCTCATGAATGCCAGGACAATCATCCGACTTGCAAACATGCAGTCAGTGTGCGATGCACGTTTCTGTAGTGTCCGCAGAGGCCATATCCCATATGATCCAAGAGAATTTGACATTGTTGAGCCGGGCAGCAACCTTGTTATTTTCCTCAATGCTCACGGACCCCTCGGGCCCTTCTTGGACGATGAGGCGGACATCAGCCATTTCATGCAGAACTCAGCAGCCCCCTCTACAGCAAGGCCAACATCGGATGCTTTCCAGTTCAACCCCAATGCGCCACACTTCTGTCCTGGTCAGCCCTTACTGAACTCTTTACCAGAAGGACTCCAGGACTTGTATGACCACTGGGCGAGATACGCTTTTAGCTGGGAGGGTGAGGAAGCATCAACTTCGGTGACCACATGGTTCATTGATCAACACCATCAGCATCTTCACAACTGCTGGGTGCCACGACAAATCCAATTGGCGGGTGATTACAATTCCTGGGAGGAGACACTCTACAGAGCTTGGCATGATCTTCGTCTACCAGGAGCTCCAATCCTGATCCACGTTGTTCAGCCTACACCCCCCAACATGGGATCTGAGACGGCGGCACACGTGCTTTTGATTCAGAATCCACAAGACACTTTGTCTTCCAGCGTGGTCACATTCTTCAATTTAGAACGACACACAGGTGAACCAACGCGACAGTTTGCCATCACCACGAATGAAGGCATTCTCCTGGAACATCTCATCTATGGTTTGGGCCTCGAAGGCAGGTGTCTTCTTCCGGGAGCGACCTCAATCTGCACAGCTTCAAGCGGCTCACAACAACTCCATTTGGGACGTCCATACTTAGGAGGGGATGGCACTGGCATCACTCTATGGATGAACAGAAGACCTGAGCCACTGGCGACAGCAACGGGCAACGCAGCCACCAACCTGCTACAAATAAGTGCTCGATTGCAACAGAGGGGAGAGAGGCGCCTAACACATGGGCAGGTGGCTCACACCCATGGGCCTCTCCACCCCCCAACTTCATCCAGCACAATCCCCCTCAAGCTCATCAATGCGGGAGACTACACTACAGTCTTGCCACCCTTCATTGAAGTCCCATGGCCTCCCGATGAAGCGACAGTTGCAGCTGCTCTTTTGGCTTTTGGAGTGCAGGGTAAGATTTCCATCCTTTCAGATGACCATACTGTGCTGTGGTGGTCGCTCGAGGCCGATGAAGAAGACATCTCCAGACATTGCGTGTTCGTCTCAAAGAACTCACCCTTTGAATGCATCCTCCACACTTTGTCCCAGGCAGCTCAAGAGGATGAATTGCATTTCATGCGCACACTCTACCAACTGGGCTTTGAGAAAGCAGTCATTCTGGACATGATCAGGCATTCTTCGGGCATACTTGAAATCACCTTCAAGGAATCCACAGGGGAATTGCTGTCAGCAGAACCCAAGCAGAAGATTCTGCCGCCGTGGCCAGCACGACAAGAGCGAACCCTGCGAAAGCCCATGTACCAAGCGACACGTGATCAACCAGTACCGACTTGCTGCCTCAACTGTGGAGTGACCTCTGATGACCTGTTCAACTTCTTTCAGTCTTCCAAGAACACTCTTTGCACCTCATTTGAAGGTATTGATCTTCCGGATTTCTGTCATGAACGACTGCGCGGCCTAGCAGCTCACACTCATTTCGACCGGTTGATCATTTATACAGATGGCTCCTCACAATCACGCAACAAGCACATCTCTCCACTTCTCAATGAGGAAATTGGAACTCCAGACTCATGGAGTTTCCTTGTTTTGGGCGAGACATACCTGCCAGATGGAGACCACGATCTCACACTTATAGGATGGTCTGCCCACCAGGTGCGTTCAGACCCCAACAATGATTGGTACATAGGGGCAGACAGGATTGGATCAGCCATTGCCGAGCGCGAAGCGATTAGCTGGGCACTATTGTGGCGGATTGGCCAGAATTCCAACATTCCCACCGTCCTGAGGAGCGATTCAATGTTAGCCCTTCAACAGGCCAACGGCGACATCGGGAGTCTTGATTGCGACACCTCATTTCAGATGATTAGAGGTTGTGCTCAAATCCTTGAAGCAGCTCTTGGACCTGAAGGCCTGCTATTTGATCACGTGCCTGGCCACGCAGGGGATCCATTCAATGAAATCTGCGACCACATTGCGAAACAAGAAGGACAAAAGGGATTTCTTCTTCCCAGACCACGACTCCATCTTGAGAAATGGCGCAGATTGATCCCTTTCCTTTGGCTCCTCTTTGGTGAGAACAAAGGTGCACCGAGGTTTCAGGGCACAGGATTCAAGGTGCATCCACCAGACCTTCCACCGCTGGCCGTTCCTGAAAGAAGAGCGACACATCGACCGAGAAGACAACAGCTTAACTTTGTCATCTCCATCGCCACCGGCAACGTCCAGTCCCTGGGAATAGGTGCACAAGGATTCACCGGCAAACTGCAATATTTGCGCACGCAATTTGCGGCATTCAATCTCAACTTCATTGGACTGCAAGAAACGCGTTCACCTGAAGGCCTTGCTAATAAGCACGGCATCCTGCGACTCTCCTCAGGTTGCGAGAAAGGCCAAGCAGGAGTAGAATTATGGTGCAATTTGCAACAGCCCATTGCAATTGCTAACCATAAACAGATATTTCTGCAGAAAAAGCATTTTCTTGCTGTTCATCGAGACCCACGTCGCCTTCTTGTGCGGATTCAACACCCCCTTTGGGAAGCATGGTTTTTTGTCGCATATGCCCCGCATAGTGGCTATAGTGATCAAGACCGAGCTCAGTGGTGGAGCGCGACACAAGCCATCGTCCAGGATCACTATACAGAGAACTCCCCACTCTTTGTTTGTCTGGATGCAAACGCAGGACCAGGAGAACCAGACGGAGAGCACTTCTTCCAAGGGGGTTTTCGCACATCCTCAAGTACCAAGTTCTTGACAGCTTTCGCGAACGATTTTCACCTATGTGCACCCATCACAAGCTCCGTTCACGAGGGCTCAACATGCACATGGACTTCACCTTCACAAGAAGAGTTCACTATTGATTATGTTCTGATCCCACAAACATGGATGCCTCACTGCAGTTTCTCCAGGATCCTTGAGGAGTTTGACCTGGGCAATCAGCAACAGGATCATTCCGTTTATGCTTTGGAACTGAGTTGGCAAGGACAAGGAACTATCCCAACATCAATCTCAAGCAGTAGCGATGGTTTTGAGCGATCCAAGGTGAAACAGCAAATGCCTTCCCATTTTGAAGATTTCACCATCAAATCATGGGACACGAATGTTGAAGACCATCTTCAGCACATCAACGACAAGCTGCACAGCATGCTTCGAAGCCACTGTCCTCGCCCACACAGAGGACCAGAACGTCCTTACGTAGATGAAACCAGCTGGAATTTACGAAAGGCCAAGCTTCACCATCGACGAGAATTGAAGCACATACGGCACCTCCTTCGCAGAGAATCATTGGCCAGAGTCTTTGCGGCCTGGAAGCACAAGCACACATGGGATGGCGATGCATCCTTCTGTTTTGGCAGCACATTGCTTTCAGGAGTGCTCAAGCATGGATTTGGTTTTCGTGTCAAAGCTCAAGCACTGCGTAAACATCTCATTATGAGCAAGAAAGCCACCCTTCAGAGCCTCGTGAGTGAGTTCAATCACACAACTGCGGCTTCAGAAATTCAACAGCGCTTGAAACCTTTCATGGGACCCTCACACAAACTCCGACAGGGATTGGCTCCGCTACCATTGATCAGAGACGCAGAAGGTTTCCCATGTACTTCTCAACAAGCGGCCCTTGATCGCTGGATCAGCTTCTTCAGCGAAATGGAAGGTGGCGAAAGGGTTGATGAGCAACAGCAGCGAGAGCTCTGGCGAGAGAACCTGGCGACCTTGCGCTGCACCAACCTCGAAGTCGAGATTTCAGAGGTACCCTCGCTTGCAGAGCTCGAACATGCCTGTCGCCAAGTTGCAACAGGCAAAGCATCTGGAATGGACAGAATCCCCTCGGAGCTTCTACGCCATTGCCCAAGATCTATGGCCAGAACGCTTTACTCTTTGATGTTGAAGGTCTATCTCCAAGGGCAAGAACCGCTAGCCCACAAGGGAGGATACCTTGTCCCCATCTGGAAGGGGAAGCTCAGCAAAGATGTTTGTGGCGCTTTTCGGTCCATCCTCATCTCATCCATGGTGGGAAAGACGCTTCACAAGGCCATGCGCTCAAAGCAATCAGATCTGTATCACAGCTACCTTCATGCCCAACAACTTGGAGGACGCAAAGGTGTGTCTGTTTCTCTGGGAGGACACCTCATCAGAGCTTTTTTGCGCATCTTCAAGGATCGCAATCAGCCGACGGCAGTCCTGTTCATAGATTTGCAAGAAGCATTCTATAGGGTCATTCGCCCCCTTGCAATTTCCGGCCATTGGGATGATGCCCAAATCGCTTCTCTTGCTGCACGACTGCACTTGGATCACAACATCATGCACGACCTCAAGGAACACCTCCATGAAGCTAGTGCCATCGATCTTGCCGGCATGCAAGGAGTAGCCAAGAGAGCCATCAGAGCACTACATACGGACACGTTTTTTGCCCTTTCGGGTCAACAAGACTTTGTTCGTACGAGTCAAGGCTCCAGACCGGGCGATTCTTTCGCTGATGTGGTGTTCGGATACCTCATGGCCAGGGTGCTGAAATCTTTCGAAGCCCAACTTGCGACCAAGAACATCTTCTCCAGCTTCCCCGGCGACACTCAGCCTGACTTCCATGCACAAGGTTTCCCGGAGCAATCAACAATGGAGTTTCAGATGATTGGTCCATGCTGGATGGATGACTTAGCGATACCACTCACGGCCAGCACCAATGAAGAGCTGCTCACGAACCTTGGAATTGCTACCAGCACCATACTGGATCTTTTCCAAGCACATGCCATGACCCCGAACTTGAACAAGGGCAAGACCGAAATCCTCTACAAACCAAGAGGCAGAGGGTCGCGAGCAGTTCAGCGACAACTTTTTGGACCCAATGCTCCAGGGCTCTTCTCTGCCATTGGAGAATATGGAACCTACAAGGTGAACATTGTGACGCAGTACCTCCATTTGGGTGGCACTACGCACTTTTCAGGAGACCTACGTAAAGAAATTAAACGTAGGATTGCCATCTCCAATCAAAGCTTCAACAAACACCGAAAGTTGATCTACCAGAACACAGACCTTGCCCCAGCACGCCGCACTGAGATCTTCAACAGTCTCATTCTCAGCAGACTTCTTTTTGGAGCAGAAACGTGGTTCATCCAGGACCAGAAAACGAAGGACTACCTGCACAGCGCCATCATGCGCCTTTACAAGCGACTGCTCAGGTGCCCTTCGGATTCCCACGTTTCTGATGAAGAAGTTCTTCATAAAACAGAACTTCCAGCTCCTCCAGTTCTGTTGAGACTAAAGCGATTGAGCTATCTCAGCTCACTCATTGCGGTTGGACAGTCTGCACACTGGGGGCTCCTCAACCAGGACACAGCTTGGATGAATCTTCTACGTGATGATTTACAATGGGTCTGGGACCAGCTGAGCCACTCCTGCAATCTTGGGAACCCAGTCGAACACACAGACAGGTGGCTGGAAGTGATTCGTCACCACAGAGGCTATTGGAGAAGACTGCTGCGGAGAGCCAAGCAGCATTCATCTCTTGTGGCCTCCCGCCTCTATGTGTGTGCCGCAGCTCACCTTAGAATCCAAAATCTCCTGAGTACCCATGCCTGCTGGAAGCTGCCGACAAGGGAACCAGGGATCAAAGAGCCGGAGGACAACAAAGTCTTTGGTTGCATGCAATGCGAACTCAGCTGCCGAACCCTGGCCGGAGAGGGAGCGCATATGAATCGCAAGCACGGTCAATTTCATCCTGTCCGTACCTTGATAGATGGTACGCAATGCGGTCACTGCCTCAAAGAGTTCTTCACACATGGCAAGCTTCAAGCGCACCTGATTCGTTCTGATGTCTGCAGATGTCAACTGGTTGGCAGAAGAGTCCGTCATCAACCTTTACCAGGTCTGGGATCCACACAAGTGGCCCTTCAGCATGAAGTCTGGGATGGACGTCTTCCGGTTCTACAAGCAGAAGGACCCTGTTTGGAGCCGGTCATCCCCCGAGACTTTGATGACGAGCACCCTGCGTTGCTGGAAGCCATCACACTTCATGTGGTCGAGATGTCGGACGACAACATCAGGGACTTTGAGCACATCATAAGAGCGACCATCAAGCAATATGCCATCTCATGGACACTCTGCCAAAGGACATTGCGACGCATCATTAATGTGTTGGAGGAAGCGGAATTGGAACAGACCAAAGAGACAGTTGACCACATGAAGCATTGTTTGATTTCATTGTGTTCCTCCAGAGCATGGCCTTTCCTGCTGCACCATCAACTCCCAGTACATGGCCGCTTTGATCTGGCACAGATTGAGGAGGACTTTGACCACGCGCTCATTGAGCCTACACAGCCAGAGATTCCGCACCCATGCACTAAGGAGAGGATCTTCTTACATGTCTTTTCAGGGCGGCGCAGAGAAGGAGATCTGCAATTTTTCATGGAGAAGCTCTATGATCAGCTTTGCGCAGATGGCACCACACTTTGCGTCGTGTCATTAGACTTGATCATCGACCAGCAATGGGGCAATGTCAGACAGGAGACCACTCAGAACTTCTGGTTGGAAGGGGTCAAGGCAGGATGGGTCTACGGTGCACTTTGCGGCCCACCCTGTGAGACGTGGTCGCAGGCTCGCTTCGTGGACGCAGCCCCAGACCAACAGTCTCTACCTCGACATGGTCCTCGACCTTTAAGGGACATCTACGAGCTGTGGGGGTTCAGTTCGCTTAGCATTCGCGAAGCGTTGCAGGTTGCCACAGGAAATGAACTCTTACTCTTTTCCATTGAGCTCCTCTTCTCCCTCGCATGTGCTCAAGGTTTTGGCGTCCTTGAGCATCCACAAGAGCCGGACGATGAGACTAGACCCTCAATTTGGAGATTGGCTATAACCCGATTGCTGCTGCGTTTTCCCAACGTTGAGCATATCGACCTAGCACAGGGACTTCTTGGCGCATGGTCCCCGAAACCGACGCGTTTGCTGGCGCTGAATTTGCCTTCTTTGAGAACGCAGCTGAGGGAGCATCAGATTTCCAAGGACCTGCCAAAGCGCAGTGCCATAGGCAAAGGGAAAGACGGATCCTGGAAGACGTCTCCCCTGAAAGAATACCCACCGGCAATGAACCGAGCATTTGCGCTGTCATTTTGCCACTGGTTTCAAGCCCATCCCCATTGTGCAGATCAGGGCATTGACCAGGTTTTTTTACCAGAGGTGCTGTTCGATGATATCACGAACTTTTGGCACCCACTTTGGGCCAGACTTTGGAGGCCACTGAGCTCAGTCTGGGAATTCATCAGAGCTCGCAGCGACGTCAGTCACAAAGAGCCGTGGGAAAAAAATATTTAAAGTTACATATATATATATTTAAAGTTATATATATATATCCATATTTACCACTATAATAACCACTTATAACTGGATCTCAGCCCTGGCTGTTTTTCAGTGGGTTTTCAGTGTCCCGTAAAGATCACCGAGCGGCGCTTTGCCAGGTCAGGTCCAAAAGGTTAATCTATGAAATATCCCGGAAGTATCAGATTATTGGGTGATTTTTATATATAATCTACTAGATATGAATGATAATATTGATATGATATGATATGATGATCTGTTACATTGGGATGATAATCATGGGATGATGATCTATAAATAATCCATGCAATCATTTATTATCCCAATAGAATGGATTATTATCATCCCATTATGAATATGAATATGTATATATATATAATACACATATTAATGATTGGGACATTTTTCCCATCATGATTATGACAGATTTATCCACTATTAGCCCATCATAATCCCATTAATATGGGTAAAACAATGCCATAAACCATCCCCCAAATCATCATAAATAGGTGGTATAAACATGTATAAACTATAATCCATTCCCAGTCATGGGTGGTTTATGGCATTGTTTTACCCACAATATTCCAATTGTCAATCAGTTTTAACAAGTAACCATTATTAACCATAGATTGGCTAAATGGGTAGGTTGTTATAAACCATCATTAACCATAGCTATATGTTAACCATTATCTAACCATTGCTATATGGCTTTAGATCCGTCCACGTGCTGCAGGAGTGTGTTGAAGTCGAATGGCGAGATCCAATCGGTGCGAGTTTTTTGAAAAATCAGCTGTGTGGGCAGAATGAGAAACCCATAGCTTTGAGAAGGTTGGTGCTTCCAAAAGAAATATTTATATATATATAATCTCGATCTATGTATATATATATATAATAATAATATAATAATATAATAAGATATATATATATATATATACACATGTATATACATACATACATACGTACGTACGTACATACATGCATACATTACATTACATTACATTACATTTACATTACATTTACATTACATTTACATTACATTTACATTACATTTACATTACATTTACATTACATTTACATTACATTTACATTACATTTACATTACATTTACATTACATTACATTACATTACGTTAATCCATACATCCATACATCCATCCATCCATCCATCCATACATACATACATACATACATACAATATGTTATGTTATGTTATATATGATTGTATAAGACACTCACATATACATATATATATAACAAACAATTAGATATATGATTATATTTATAAACAATTATATATACGATTCTATAGGGTTATAGCGAGTAGTTCCATGGAGAATTGTTGTGCTTTAATATTGGACCCCCTATCATCCAAGAAACATAGGGATGGGTCATGCCAGAGAGTGGGTCTTCCGATGTTGATTTTCCGCTAAACCAATCCATTGAATGAGACTTGATGAGATTTTGTTTTTTAACATGTGGCAAAAAAACATCCAATACACTGATGATTCAATGTTTCAATATTGAATTATCCTATTCAATATAATACATCCAATACATCCAATACATCCAATACACTCGTAACTGCGATGATCCAACCGTTGCCGTTGACATTTGGTTGGTGCACATGGAACATCTCTGCACCAAGCCGTGCCAGGTACGGGCCAAGCCGAGTCTGGGCGGCAGCAGGTGCTCGCGACATCGGAAAGCCATGGTTTTCCACGAAATTCCATGAGAGATACCCTCTGGTAATTTAACATAGCTATTGAAAATGGCCATTTATAGTGGATTTTCCCATTGAAAACGGTGATTTTCCATAGCTATGTTAGTTTACCAGAGGGTAGGGGTTTCCGGCAACAAAAATCCAACCAATCCAATGATTTCAAGATGAGTTTCTTTTCTAGGTGGATTTAGGTTTCGAAGGTGTGCCCCAGGGGTTCGCACTTTGAGGACGGCTGTGGATTGGAAGAACCATGTTATCCGGGAATCTCATTCGTAAAAGCACGTCAGCAATTCAACTCCAGGACCTATTCCCCATAGTTCATGTGGGATTCTGGGTCTTCTGCAATGGATCGGTTATTTTTTTTGGTTCTTGACCAGTCAGTGTGCAGGTTTTTTTTTGAGCAGTGATCATATGATCCAAACCACTCCAAACCCGGGGTCTCACCTGAAATTACCTGAAACATACCAGGGGTTTTCGCAGATAATCATTCAAACCTCAATGGATTGGTTTGAGGGAAAATCGGAACCGGAAACCATAGATTTTCCCATTAAAAATGGGGTTTCCTGCAAAATTTCCCTTAAACCACTCCATTGAAAATCGTTTTTTTTTTTTTTCCCCATGTAATTTTTAGCACCAAGTCAGGGGTTCTAAAGTTTCAATCGCTCGAAACATTGAGACAGCCATATGGTTTTTCGCCGAGGGGGCGCCAATGGGTTGATGGTCAGCATCTATTCGGGTATACCGCAGAAAATTGCACATATATCATACTATATATATATGTAGCATAATGACATTAATGTGTATATATCTATATACTCATCATATATTCATATTTTATAGAGGTACTATTTATAAACATACTATATATATATGTATTGTATCAACTATCAACATATGATATTTTTCCGTCGGTATATAGTATTAAATATAACTATTAGATATAACATTGTATTATGATATATTATAATATGATAGAATATGCAATGATCTCCAAGTTGGTGGTTTCAAACATTTTTTTATTTTCCATTTCATATATGGGATAATCCATCCCATTGACGAACTCATATTTTTCAAGATGGTTATTGCACCACCAACCAGTATCATGATATGATATGCAATGATATCCAAGTTGGTGGTATTATAACTATAAAATCTATTAAATATAACATTGTATTATGATATATTGTATATATATATATATTATATACTTTATTATAATATGATACAATCTCAACGATGCGTTCAACGGTAGATTCAACAATCCAACGGGAGACTGATCGAGGCAGAATCCCGCGGAGCTGCAGGCAGGGGACTGGTGTGTTTTACGTAGGGTTGCTGGATGGGTTGCTGGGGGTTGCTGGGATGATTATAGTTAGCCAGTGGATCATTCCCGAAAATTCCCTGCGTTGAGCACCAGTAAGGATTTTTCTGTTTCAAACACAGGGATTTATTATGAGACTCCATCACGACAACGAAAATGAGGAATCATGCACACACACTGAAAGAAAACGGGATATCGCCAAAATCAGTGGCTAAACTTTGGTGAACGTCCGTTCAGATATGAGTGCTATCCAAAGATCGGGCAGCTTTCTCAGGATACCCCCAAATCCCATTTCGAAAAACATGGATTTTTTTCAATGGCCATTGAAAAAGAAGCGATTTATTGGAGGTACCTACATCAATTTTTAAAGGCCTATATTTTTTACAGGCCTCAATTTCAGGGAAGATCCCCAGAAAATGTGGTCCAACTATATGGTACGAACTAACGTAGCTCCATAGGATCCAGCAATTCTTTCCCATGGAGTCCATAGGATGGGATGGGGCACCCGTTGGTTAAGCCGCTTGAAAAGTTGCCTAAAAAAAGTGGCTGAAAAAAGTATGGTTTATGGGAGATAGAATGAACTAGTGAATGAGGGTTTTGTTATGGTTTATAAACCAACGTTCACATCACTGGGGGGCCCCATCCTGTTGATTGGTGGGTACTTGATATCACGCGGAAGGGAGTGTTGATCATGTCATATCTGCTATTCGATCCTCCACAAGCAGCCAAACACTGTTGGAACTCACACACCCATGATTTCTGGATATTGAGGATGTCCCTCAGAGCTTTGATTTTGAATACCTTTTTCTGACCAAGAATTGCACATTGAATAAAATCAGTATATATTCATAATCACATTGCTTCCAGTGATCCCCACCAACTGACATATATTCTGACATGTTATTTGACATTCTATCTGGCATTTCATTTGTCTATCTGACATGCATTCTGACATTCTATCTGAGACACATTCCGGAGTTCCATCTGACATATCCATATCATCTGAGGTTCTATCATATTCTATCTGACATTATTACTGGTGCTTAGTAGGGAATCGATGGGAATGGGGGAATGGGATGATTACTACTAGTGATTATGGATCATTCCCTCATTCCCTGCTAAGCACCAGTAAGTATCTGGCGTCTATTCTGACATTCTATATGACATTTTGTCTGGCATTCCATCTGACATTTATTTCATTCCTGACACTTATCTGACATTCTATCTGATATTTTCCTTGACATTCTATCCGACAAATGTATCGACATTCTGACACATGTTCTGACATCCTATTTAACATCCTATCTATCTGACACTTTGTTTAACATCCTATCTGACAAACGGTACAACATTTTATGTGACATCTTATCTAATGAAGGTTCTGACATTTCATTTAACACCCTATCTGTTTTTTTTCTGACATTTGACCTCCCATTTGAAATCTGGCCTAGTGTTCGGTCCGGTAGAGACCCTCAGCTGCCAAAATCCCTCCTAAAATCAGAAGAAAAGTTGGTGCTACAAACCATCCCCCAGTTTTGATAGGTATATATATATATATACGTATATATATATATATATATATACTGTGAATTCCACCAAATCTTGCAGTCCACATGTCACGTTCCCTCCAAGCGCCAGTGTATCTCAGGTGAAACCAATCAATGTCCTTTAGATTTCGGCTTAGGCGAGCCACTGTTGGCGGGAGGGAAAGGGTTCCATCTTGAGCCATAGGTGACCGAGTTCACCTCCATTTGCTTGAGGGGCGAGGCCGCCCGACCTGGCATTTGCAGCTGCATCCGTTTCGAAGTGTGTTCTGCTTCGCCGACAGGGTGTTCGGCTACGCCGGCACCTGGACTTCTCAGTTTTGGCGACAAAAGAAGTAGACTGCCTGCTGTGTGAGCTTTAGAGAGGGTTCCATCTGGATTACATAACAGTATCAGTGAATCACTCTGGAAGGGGCTTTTCAATACAGACGATCTACATCAATCATCAGGGTCAGCAGGGCTTCTACCAATTGCTCCAATTGCATTGGTAGCGGAGCCGCCCCACTCCGTTTACAGAAGGGGCGGCATCCGGGGAAATGGCGCAATCAACTGCGTCAGCCACTGAGCCCAATGTAGGTGTTAGCAATCAGCTGGCATCCTTGGTACCGACGTTCAATCCTGCATCCGATGACATGACCGTATACCAACAGAAAGTTGAACTGGTTCTTGCTGCATGGCCAAAGGCCAAATTGACAGAGCTGGTGACAAGGTTAATCCTTGGATGTGAGGGTAGTGCTTTCCAAAAGCTACAGCTGCACCAATCCGAATTGTTGACTGGCGAGGAAAAGTCAGTCCATCGACTGATTGAATTGCTGGGTGGACAATGGGGCCGTATTCCATTACAGAAACAATATGATGATGCTGAGAAAGCGTTGTTTGAGTCAGTACAGAAAGCCGATGAAACCAATGATAGCTTCTTAGCCAGGACAGATGTTCTATGGAGCAAGTTGTTGAGTCGCAAGCTGACCATGGAACAGCTGCAAGCATACATCATTCTACGTGGATCAGGTCTCAGTCCCGAGGAGAAGAAGAAGGTGATCCTTGACAGCGATCGTGAAAACTCAGGTAACCTTTCGATGCAGCGTGTGACAGAAGCCATTCGCCTTTTAGGTGCAAGTTTCTTTCAAGAAATGACTGGAGTGAAGAAAGGGCCGAAAGGCAAGGTGTATGACCAAAACACTTTGCTTGCCTGTGATGAAGATGATGATGAAACCGCTGAAGCCTCTTATGTAACTCAGGATGAATGGACAGAGGACAATTTCATTGACTCTCTTCGAGAACAAGGTGATGATGATGCCTGCCTCATTGCCGATTTTGAAGAAACTGCAGTGGAAATGTTGCAAGATGATGCCAATCTTGCCACCGCCTACAGTGCTTACCAAGAAGCACGTGCCCGCCTGAGTGAGAAATTCCGCAACAGAGGTTTCTGGCCATCCAGTCGAGGTTCCAACAATGCCACCAAGGGTAAGGGATCATCCTTCAACCAGAGGGGTAGTAGCAAGGGAAAGCGAGTTCAGCCAAGACGCAGCCTGCAGGACAGAATCATGTCCTCGAATTGCCGTGCCTGCGGCAGACGTGGTCACTGGAAAGCTGAATGCCCGTACAGAACTGGATCAAATCGATCAGTTGGTTCATCAGCTGCCAGCACTGCACCCACCACCACCGTGGTGACGGAGGGGAATGCCGTTGCTGCCAGTCAGAGTTTGCCCATGGAGTTCATGCAGCTGCCCGAAGTGAATGAGTCCGCCATTGATGAGGACGCCAGTGCCATGACAAAGGGTCGGATGACTGATGTTTTTTTGTTGTAGGACTTGGGAAACATAGCCATCGTAGTACTCAGGGGAATCATAATGATTCGGGTAGGACTACTAGCTATGGGGGAACCTAAGCCTTAGTGCCCGTGAGAGACTCCTGGCCCGAATCACCAGGAGTGAGTCGCCATGCATCCGGCCCAAGAGTGAGAGAACAGAGTTAGGATCCGTAGAAGCCAGCCGAGACCAGAACCGTCTGTCCGGCACCACTGTCAGTTCCAGCACAGAAAAACCAGGTATTTCAGATACAATCAATCTGTCTGCAGCCGTGCTTTTTGCCACACATAGCTCCCTCGGAGTGCTGGATCTGGGGGCAACCAAGACGGTCATAGGCAGTGAACATGTGTCTGATTTAATTCACGGTCTGCAGCCAAGCACTCGCCAGAAGTTGTATCGGTGTTCATGTGAAATCACTTTCAGGTTTGGAAACCAAGGAACATTGACCAGTTCCCAGGCATTGGTAGTACCTGTAGGGGATTTTCACCTCAAAGTTGCAATTGTCCCCGGGAGCACACCGTTCTTAATCAGTAACACCATGATGCGAGCGCTTCAGGCCAACATCGATTGCCACAACCAGAGACTGTCAAGCCCATGGTTCAAGAATCCAGTGCCACTTCAGTTGACCAACAAAGGACTCTTTCTCGTTGATTTGAATGACATGATTCAAGCGGCCGACAGTACCAATCCAAAGTCCTCCAAAGTGTCTGCGAAGACCGGCACTTGTCATGAGACTTTTGCATCCGAGGACGGTGTAAACAAGCAGCCGCCGATGTCAGCCAATTCAAGTGTTTGTCATGAAAAATCAACACCACAACATGAAGGGTCAGTTGATGAAATCAAGAAAATCAAAGGGTCACGGAAAGTTAGCCAGTTGATTCAAACATGGGAAGCAAAGGGAAAAGCAGGTGAACTGTCAGGGAACCTGGCTCAGAACGACCCATCACCAGGAAACAGATCCTGTGAACGCACCGAGTCTTGCAGTCATGTCGATGAGCCAGCGTTTGAGCAAGCTGTACCAGGAAGTGACCGTGAAAGGGGAGGACCTGTCACACCTCACACTGGAGGAGCTCTCAGCCGAGAAGATCAAGTTTGGGGAGAAACATCAAGGAGCCACCATGGAACATGTCTGGCGAACCGACCCCGAATGGATCCGGTTCATGGTGAATCGATACGAAACCAGTGTCAAGCCAGAACATCAACGTCTCATGAAGTTCGTGGAATTGAAACTGAAATACCACGAGGAGAATCAGCTCCCAGTGAGAGTTCCCAAGGCCAGGAGCACGGCAGCCCCAATGATCAGCCGCCGTCAGCCCAAGTGCAAGGCAGCGCCTCGCACTCCAATCGAGGTGGACGAGGCCGAGATCTCAGACCTCCAACTCGTCGAGAGCGATGCCACATGGGAAAACATGTCACATATCGAGATGTCCAACCCGGAGACTATGCCCCTGACGGATCTGAACCAGCAGCATGCGGAGGAGTTTCAAGCTCTGCAGACGCGCATGCTCAATATGGAGAATGCCCTGAGCCGAGTGATCCGACACTTGGAGGATCAGGCGAACGACTCCATCCAGGAGAATTGATGTGTCAAGATGAAGATCAGGTGTATCTGACCATGAATGCTGACATGAAAAAGTTTCACAGATTGGTTCAGCAATTTCAAGAAGAATTAGATGTTCAAGTTGCCACCATGTCACCAATGGGTACCCGCATAACCCTGGCTGAAGTGTTTTGCAGTGATGAATCCCCCTTGACACATCAAGTAAAGGCCCAGGGCGGCAGCTGTTTTCGATTTGGATTGTCGCAAGGAGATCTTGCGCAGGCAGATGGCCGTGCCAAATTGTTTAAGCAGCTAGCAGTGCGTCGTCCCCGAAACATTTGGTATAGCCCAGACTGCGGACCTTGGTCATCATGGTCGTATCTCAATTCCTCGAAGTCCATGGAATCCCAGGAAAAATACCAGGAGTTAAGACATAACCTGATGTATCAACTTGCCCTCGGAATTGTGCTGTTTCGTCACCAGGTGTCTCAAGGAATGCACTTCCACTGGGAACAACCGGCCAGATCCCTCATGCTGCAATTTCCAGGAATGGCCGAAGTGTATCAGTATACGCAGACATGCCAATTTGACATGTGCAATGCTGGAGACCTCAAGGATCCATCAAATGGAATGCCAATGAAAAAGGGGATGAATGTAGTTACTACTTCAAAGACAATATACCTATTACTACATGGGAGAGTTTGTCGGGGTAACCATTCTCACCAATCAATAGCAGGGTCTTTCACAACACCTCAAGGAACAGTTTTGCGCAGTCGATACACCGAAGTGTATCCCCGAAAGTTTGCAAGAGAGGTAGCCAGAGCCATGATGCACAACCACCGTGACAGGCCGTTCAATTGGCAAGTAGCCTTTTCCCACATGTGTCAAGAGACTGATGCCGAAATCCATGTTCTTACCAAGTTCCGACAGAAAACCAAGTTTGTCAGATCCGAATTGATCACACCATCCTCCAGGGATGACCATGTCAAACGTCGACGTTTGGGAAAACAAAGCGAGGACCACCACCTTGAAGATTATCAGAACCTCATGACCGAAATCAATCAGATCATTCCCAGGGTTGGTAAGAGTGTTATACAAGAACCTAATATCTTGGAGAAACTTCAGCAAATGTTTCATGACCAAAAGATCATTCATGTGATTGCCTGTCGAGGAACCGACCGAACCCTAGGTCCACCAAAGGGGATGCATCCAGAGGAAGCACCTCTCCGGAAAAGTTTGATCCTTGAAAGGGGAACAGGAACAATCAAGTATGAAAAGGACTGGGAAAAATGGGTTCACCTTGCCAACCGCCAGTTGATTCGACCAGCACATGCCTGTCGAATCAATGTCACGATGTTCGCAAAGCCCTGGCCTGTTGAAAATGACTCGAGCCAAAGTTCCCAAGGTGTGAATCCTATGCCTCCAATGCCTGAGCCAGCAAGTGAGCAGCCAGCACCGAGTCAGACGGAATCAGGTCATGCAGATCCCGTGACAGCAACGCCGCTCACCAGTGATAATGTTCCCATTTCCCAAGAAGCTGAAGTACCAGAAAATAATCCTGAGGGAATCCAAGATAACAACAGTAATCCCACGAGTACTTCTCATGCGGATAATAGGACACATGCAGTAATGCCAGGGGAAAGACCTATCCGACAGACAGGTCCCAATTTCAGAGCTCTTCCAAGGTGGGAACAACGCATGATTATCCAGATGCACAAGAACCTTGGTCACCCTTCCAATGACCGACTGTCACGAGCACTGCAAGTAGCCGGATATCGACCTGAAATTGTTCATGCGTCGCAAGAGCTCGAATGTTCAACATGTTCAGCATGTAGTCCACCAAAACACCAGAGACCAGCTATTTTGAAACCAATACGGGAATTCAACTCACGTATCTATGTAGATGGGGTAAAGTGGACAAACTCTCAGGGCCAATCCTTTCACTTTTACCATATCATAGATGCCGGTTCAAATTTTCATGTTGCAATCACATCACCCTCCAGAGAAACAGAACATGTGATCCAACTTCTCACGCGCCATTGGATTAGCTGGGCAGGACCTCCCAATGAAATCATGGTGGATTCGGGAACCGAGTTGAACAGCGAACAGTTTGCCGCTTTCCTGCAACGATTCAACATCAAAGGAGAGACAACCTGTCCTGGAGCTCACTGGCAAAATGGCAAAATAGAAAGGCATGGGCAATTTCTCCAGGCGATGCTCACTCGGATGGACACTGAAAGCCACATCACGTCATATGAAGAGTTGCAACTAGCTCTGAGCCAGTGTACTCATGCAAAGAATTGTCTCAGTGTACACCATGGTTATGCTCCCGAGGTAATTGTGTTTGGTCGACACTCTAGAGTCCCAGGGTCAGTGATGTCAGATGAATCATTGCCGTCCCACTCCCAAGTAACTCAAGAAGATGACACCATCACCCCAAATATGTTCCGAGAGATGTTGCAAGTCCGAGAGAGAGCTAGAAGAGCCTATCATGCAGCCGACAGCTGTGATGCCCTGCGACGAGCGATGCTTCGCCGGCCATGCCCACAGAGAGGGGTCTTCCAAAAGGGTCAATGGGTAATGATATGGCAACATAACCCGAATAGTAACCCCCAATGGATAGGACCACAAAGGGTAGTACTTCAGGATGACAATCACACAGTGTGGACCACCCAATGTGGTCGATTGTACCGTCGTGCACCAGAACATGTCCGAGGTGCCCTCTCCGAAGAAGGGACACCTGGCCCTGACACAGAAATTCAATGGACCAATTTGGAACAACAAATACATAACATGTCAAGGAATTTCACAAATAGCAATCAAGATGAACTTCCAATACCACATCATGAAAATAATCCCGAACACTTGAATGAGGAAACAGCCTCTGGAAGAGAAGAACCTGATGAAGTTCCAGATAGAATGGTCTCTCATGAATCCATATCACAACCCGAGTCAGAGCAGGAGAACAGCAATGAACTCCCAGAATCCGATGCAACATCAGACACCATGTACCTGATCAGTGAAGACCCTGCCGATAGCCTGGTAGTCTCAGCCGACTGTCCATTAGCGTGGCGTTGCGAAGTCGATGTCAAGCTAGATAGACCACTAGAACAACGGCAACCGACCAATGAAGAAGCATGGACGTTTCTGGCGACCAGTGCCAAGAAACAAAGGTCAGAAATTCGGTTGTCAGAGCTGAGTCCATCAGAGCGCAAGGAATTTGATCAGGCCAAAGACAAAGAAATTCAAAATTGGATTCAAACAGGAACACTAACCAAAGTGTTTCGCCATGAAATTCCCCAAGAGCAAATTCTCAAATGCCGATGGATTTTAACTTGGAAACCCTTGGATAATGTAGATCAACCTGAAGCCGCTTCCACCAACAATCCATCCAGCCGGACCCACAAGGCAAAGGCAAGGTTGGTGGTATTGGGATATTTAGATCCGAAAATAGAGGAAATTCCCAGGGATAGTCCAACTCTTAATAAGACCTCAAGAATGATGATTTTCCAAACGGTTTCATCCTTCGGATGGACACTCCAATCCTTCGACATTAAAGCTGCTTTCCTACAAGGACAACCTCAGTCTGACCGAATAACAGCAATTGATCCAGTTCCGGAAATGAGAAGAGCACTCAACATGCTGCCAAGCGAAGTGGGCAAACTCAATAAAAGTGCATACGGATTGATCGATGCTCCTTATTTATGGTATTGTTCACTTGTGAGCGAACTTCAAAAATTGAACTTTGAAGCTTGTCCGTTTGACCCCTGTGTGTTTGTACTTCGCGAGAAGGATGGGTCTTTAGCTGGAGTTCTTGGAATCCATGTAGATGACGGGGTAGGAGGGGGAAATTCCTATTACCAACAACAGATCGACAAACTAGAACAGAAATATGCGTTTGGATCAAAGAAGAGTACCGCATTCACCTTCACAGGCATTGAAATCACTCAACAACCTGACAACAGCATTCACCTTTCACAAGCCAATTACATTAAACAGATCAAGCCCATTAACATTCCCAGTGACCGGAAACTACAACCTGATCAAAATGTTACTGAACCAGAACGACTTGCCCTAAGGGGAGTGATCGGTAGCCTCCAGTATGCCGCAGTCAACACCCGTCCGGACATTGCCAGTAAACTTTCCTTTTTGCAATCTTCCATTAACAGTGCCAAAGTTGAAAATCTCCAAGAAGCCAACAAATTACTCCATGAAGCAAAGAAACATCACCATGTCAATATTGTCATTAAACCTATTGCACCAAAAGATTTCCGACTGATGGCTTTCTCAGATGCATCATTCTCATCCCATAAGAAACCGGATTCTCATGCAGGGGTAATCATAGTGGGTACCCATAAGAATATCTCAAAGAATCATCAATGTCCAATTAGTCCGTTGTCATGGGGTTGCCGGAAAATCCAGCGTGTGGTGACTAGCACCCTGTCCGCCGAAACCACCGCGATGGCAGCAGCTCTTGACCAATTAGCATGGCTTAGATTGTTCTGGGCATGGCTGATGGACCCCAATGTGCAGTGGCGACGACCCGAAGAAGCGTTGTCCAAGCTTGAACCAGCCATCTCAGCATCAACAATTCAGGAACAATGTGATCTAGCCATTACTGATTGCAAGTCATTGTTTGATTTAATCAACCGAACAGCACCTCCTTCTTGTTCAGAATTCCGGGTGTCCTTAGTAGCTCGAGCAATCAAGGAGGCCATCAAAGAAGGTATTCAAGTTCGATGGGTACATAGTGGAGCCCAACTTGCAGATGCCCTCACAAAATCGATGGAAGCAAGTTTTCTTCGTGAAACCCTAAAAATGGGGGTATACCGGCTATGTGATGAGGACGCATTGCTGAAAGAACGAGCAAAATCCAAGGACAGAATCAAGTGGTTGAACCAATCCAAAGAAGCAACAGATACTTGAGATATAACCTTTCAATGCCACCAGTCACTTTCACCTTTAATTTTCCCAAAAGAAAAACAGAAAATTTTTAACGAGTGTGAATTCCACCAAATCTTGCAGTCCACATGTCACGTTCCC